AGTGCATCCATATTCTATCCAAATATAAAAAAAAATAAAGAGTAATTTCCTGGAATTACCCGTGTATTTGGCATGCTACGATTGCTAACTACTGCACCACAAGTGTGTTGGAATACCATGCGGGCAAACACCAATTTAAAATTCATCAAGGTGTTGTGTTTCGTATTCATGTCAGTAAGCTGGCACTGAAAACTCCAACAGTAGGCGGGACAACAGCTCACTTTAATATATCTCAGATGACGTAGCGGGTCGTGTTGGGGCTCTCTTGCAGAAGGACTGGGTTTAATTCTTCAAACAGCTCCAATTCTACTACTAATGCTGATAAATCAATACACATTAAATACCTGTCTTTAGAAATAACATTCATAAAAGTGCAAACTAAATGTTGAATTTTGGTGTAGAGGACAAAAACCTATTTTAATTTATTTTCTAAAAGTTCCGTTCAAGTTCCGCCAGACGCTGCTTAGAATGCTCTTCAATGGTACCGGAACTTTCAAGTTATTATAACGACTTAAAAATCAGGCTGCTTAGAATTCAAAAGACCACCTTCAACCAAGCTGCTTAAGCCACAAATAGCCTTTTATCAGAACTTTTGGTTACTTGGGCGTACCTCCACAATTGGTGCGTTTACCGTTGCGCGTTTCTGAGTGGCGCATTGCTTAGTTCGGTTCAATAAAAATTAAACCTTTGAAAATGGGTTGGAGCGTCTTTGTGTGAATGCAATAATGACAAAAAGTTAAGAGATATATTTCTGAATATTTCTAGTTCTAATTGCTCAATGTGTGCTTAAGAGCCAGAGAAATTCAGACATTAAGCTATGCAATGCAAATTTAGAATTATAATCCTGCTTGGATGGACGCATGTTTGATTACTTGAAGTAGGGGATTATGGTTAAATATTGAGCCCAGGGTCACATGGACCAACATTTATAACCTTGTGAAAGCACAACTCTGAATATAAAATTTTCGATTATGCTGATGGAAAGAAAGTGGGGGGCAATTCCAAACCTGCTTAATAGTACTTCGAATAATAATGTGCCCAAGCTCTATGATAGTCGTGTGTTAGCGTTATATAGCAAAATTAATCCAAATAGCGGGCTTATTGGTTACCTTTTAACTAAAAATTTGGGTTTTATGAGGGTTCTGGAGACCTTGAGTCAGACTTGAAGAGTGCTTTGAGACCTCAATGAAACTGGCAATGTTACTTGGTCCGGGATGTGCAATACGTGCTTTTGAACGATTTCCCACAGGAGGTATCCCGCTGCGATTAAGCGTTTGGTTAAACGTGATATTCATACACTCAAAAAATTCCACACGTCACCACCATGTGCCTCACACTTAATTTTGCACTTATTGTGAAATACATCCATTTCATGTGTGAATCTTATGGTGTGGTGCTGCAGTTGTCTTCGTTCGATATCACTGGCTCACGGGTTTTCTCATATATGAGGCTGGTTGATAAGTAGGAATTCACAATGTTTCAGTTTTCAATGTTTACCACATCTCATTGAAATGCAAAACACATCTGTTTTGAACAGTAGTGTGATTTAATGTGCAATACACTTGAATTGATAGAGAAAGATTATCAACATTTCAAAGTATGAAACACAAGAAATCAACGCGTAAAACCATGGTGAAATACACTTAAAATAAATGTGATTGTGAATATGAAATATCAAGTGTTTAAACACTTCGATCAGACGTGTGGACTTTTTTGAGTGTAACAAATGTTCAACGGAGATGGGTATTGAAATGTGCATGGGGAATATAGGTTATAACGGGGGATTAAAGACAAGTGTTTCATATAAGCGGAAATATCCCTAACGGAAAGTCCAGAAACAGTTGTAACACTTTTAGTTCATAGTTTAAATGGGGTTTTGGTAAAAATGTATAAGAAAATAACACCCCTTCCCTCTTTTGATCATTGAATTGGTTCATTATAAAGACTGCAACGCGCAAAAATTAATCGACAAAAAAATCGTTTCTGTCAGTCAAAATTCATATCATAAAAATCTTCTTATTTTTCGCTTGGTAGTTCAATTCATATATTTAAAGGAAAAACTAATCGTTTATTCTTTTGGTTTGCCAAATTTGAACTGCCGTGCCTTCCGCCTAACCCCTTCCGTTAAATTTTGCACAGTGGTCTCATCGACCTTATTCGCCGCCGAGCGCCAGTTAAATTTAAACTGCTGCTCGTTTTCCATGGATTTATTAGTTTTTTTGAGATTACGTTTGACCAAGGCCCAAAACCGTTCGTTAGGGCGGAGTTCTGGGCTGTTGGGAAGGTTGTGGTCTTTGGGTACTCAACTCCCAAATGGAACATTTCAGGTTTTATTATGCATTTTTAACAGAAATACACCACTTTGAAGTTGACACATTTTTGCGCGTTCCAGACTTTATCAACGGAATTTTTTTAATCATCTGGGTGCTTTCATATGGATAATTTACAAATATATTTATACGAAAGTATGTTTGCCAATAAGAAAGTTACTCATCGCTGAGTTCCTGCACTTGTTGCGATTTATGAGCTAACTAAACTTAAATTTGGGTCATTCTCATTGGCCGTGTAGATTAATTACGTTTGTTTTGAAAATCTGTGCTGTCACGTATGAGCAAAATGAACAAATCAGTTCATTATAAATCAATGAACTGATTTGCGTGAGCGTTTGTCGATATTCTCCAGTACTTGCTTATCTAGCCCAAAATTGTCAAAAGAGATCCTTAATAACAAAATAATCAAATTGATTTAGGCCAAAATGATTATTTTGAATATTTTTAACCCCAGAGCCTAAAACATCGATATTATCGTCAATTCAGCATGAGGCAATAATTTTCACGTTCTACAGCGTAACATTGGTGTAAAATGAAAATAATCATATTGCATTTGATCTTCAATTTCATTCTCACCAAGATGAATACGAATATAAATATTGACAACAACACAGACGAGAATGAACATCCAGCCACGAATCCTGCCACGAATGAACAAACCTAAATGTTGACTTCGATATTCAGAGGTTGCCTTGATCAAGCTACTGTTCAAATTCAAACATTCAAATTCATGCAGGTAGTTGGTCTATATGATAAGGTTATCTTCATTTTCAGTTGAATGCAGCATAAGTGTTTTTTTATGAACACTGGTTGCCACTGCCATATAAAGTGTTGAAACATAAAAATGGCAGGAATGTTCTAAAATTGTGAAAAAATTATAAAATCAACATAAAAAATCAAAATTTTACAGGTATGCTGCGATAAACTGGACCTTAAAACACCTTTAAATTGGATTTAAATCTCAACTATTCTGAAAATAATTTGTCTTATTTTAATACAGCGATTCTCAAACTTTTGCGACCCACTTTGATAAACTCCAAAAGCTCGCAACCCACCAATATGAAATACAGAATGCTAAAATTACTTTACAATTACAATTCAAAATGACTTTAAAATGGCAAAAGTAAAACCTTAAAACTGAATGGTTATCTAAAACCCAAAAACAACGACAAAATTGTGCTAAACGCCAATTCAATCCATAAAAGGCCTAAATGGGCAAACATGGGTTATAAACACTTAAAGGGTCTTCAAAATGCATGAGTAAGCATAAAACGACAGAGTAGTATTAAAACTAAATTTATCCGAATCATTACAATGGCTTCAAAATGGTTTTTTTTTAACGGTAAAACGTTCTGCAAACACTCAAAATAGTATAAAAATCGCCAATCTCAAAAACGTAAAAACGCCAAATATGATCTAACAACCTAGAATTGCCAAAACGGCTTTAACTCACACAGATGTCCTAGAATAGTTCTAAAAGTGCCAAAATGTCATTAAAATAACCACGAAACGACAAGTTCATAATGGTCTAAAGACGCAAAAATGCTCAAAATTCTAAGTTCCAAATTTACTTTACGTCGGTTCACGACAACCACAATGACATTAAAATCTCCAAAATGGCCTGAAACTAGCCAAAATAGCTCGCAAAATAGTTCATAAATTTAACAGTCCTGAAAATGCCTAAATAATTAATCTAAAAATCGCAAAAATAGCATTGCAATTCGTAAATAACTCATGCTCGGAGTGTTAAACTAAATTGCATCTTAATGTATCAATGTGCTTACCACACAACTTACATGTTCGTTCCCGTGTCTGCTGATATCCACATATTTAATTACTTTCCTCAGTGAAGTCAGTGCTTATAAGTTCGCATTTCTTCTTATGTTCATTGGAACACAAGCCTGTATGGTCACGTTAAGGTTTGAATCTCCCTAATTTCAAATAACACAATACGATCATCCAAGGCTACAGCCCTTCCATTGCGGCTTCATTAAGACACTTTTGTCTTTGAATACGACAATATAGAAGCCTAGATCTAATGTGTGAAACCATTGGGAAAGGTTCACCGAGTGTCGATTGTTGGTCCCGCACTACCGAATCAGTTAGTTTCCCCTTTCCTACCCACCATCGTCAGTGGAAAAGTAGAAAATTGTGTCATGTTTAGACGATTTTTAGGGGTGATTTGGAGCGTTAAAATTAAGGCGAGGGGCAACCGCACATGTCTGGCTATAATAGTTGGTGCTGTTGGCAGTCGACAGCCACGCATCCACCCTGGGAGGGGGCTTTAATCGAATCGCAGAGGGTATTTAAGAAGGATAAAAAGCTGCTCGTCTGGATTACTGTACTTTTTTGCCTCGGGCAAGGCCTCGACAAATCTTGCACCATTCAACAACGGCGGCGCGCCATCAACGGTCGAGTTGTTGTCTGATGCAGATACGTTTGTTTAGCCTACATTTTGTTTTTATTGTATCACTTTTTCATACTCCGTTTGGCGTCATGCATTTTGCGGGTGAACTTCAAACGAGTTTTAACGGGAGTGGGTTTCAAATTAGATAATGAGCAGTGTGAACTGGTACCGGGGGTTAGTGAACTTGGTTTCTTTTCAGGTTTAATTCGTTTCACATTCAACTCGCACAAAGTGATCAATCAATCCTATTGTTTCCATTTCAGGACCACAAACAGCTTGATACATTACGCTCTACTCAATACCTACAACCAGCATTTGTGACCTTCGATTCGTGACGCAATGTCCGAGTCTTCGATGAGCTTTCATCGAAGAAAACTGATACAACTCATTCAACCCCTGTCCAGCGAAGTTCTTCGGAACCACAAGCCCAATTAACGATGTCAGGGTGGAGCGATAAACGAACCTCAACGCAGAACTCGGACGAAATTGGGAGAAGTGCCCTGTCCGAGATCGATCTCAAGTCACCGGATCTGTCGGCCAGTGATAACAATTCATCTTCAAATTCCAGCAAGTTTCCGCTGCGCCGCATCGGGGACTTGTTCCGGAGCAAGCTACGGAGCTCGGGTAGCTACTCGATCCGAGCGATCAACGAAAGTGTACCGCAGGAATGCAAGATTGCGGATAGTACCGTACAGGATGTAGAGCAGGTGTCTAGTCCGGTGAAGAAACCGGAACGACCGGTACAGGATGTGACGGCGACGGTGGCGGCGGTAGTTGTGAATGAAAAACCTACCCGAAGCGGGAGCACCGTAGTTGGTGCCACCAGCAGCGGCGGGACGGCTTTGCGTGCGCGGAGAATGTCTACCCTGAACCGGACGATTCAGCGACAGAAAAGGTAAGTGGATGATAATTTTTATAAATTAATGCTTTTCTCTCTAAATTGTTAATCATATGGCACATCATATGATTTGCATATTTTAAACTACGCGATCGATTAGCCGATGCGTTGTAATTTTCAACCAGATTGCTTTGAATGTCCGTTTTCACCTCATTTACATTGTAGCCTGTTGCACACTCAATAATGTATCCAGTTTCTAAAGTTACTGATTTTGTGTGTTTTCACACTTGTTTGGACTTTTTAGTTTTTATCACAATAACCGGACGAGCTTTACGGTTGTTCGGTTTTTTACTGTCAACGTTAATTTTATCATTTTCAAGTTTATTTGTATTCCTATCCTTACTACCCAAGTAACAATTCAGCAGCTACTTGGCATCCACTCTGATTTATGATGGTTTTATAATGGAAATAAACAATCCATTTGGTTTAAATACAGCATTTCAAAGTGTAAAGCATTCCTGATTAGTAATTCAGCTTATTGCTGTTTTAAAAACCTTCTATAGTCTGTCGAGAAAGTTGTTTAAAGACTAAATTTAAAGCAGCTCTCAATACCTCCATAAAACTGTTCTGTCAATCAATCATAAACTTCATTAGCTATTGTTTATTAATGACTTGATAAAATATTCTATAAAGTTGTTCTGTCATTACAAAAGCAACCATAAAACAATTAGGTTTTAAATGAGAAAAAAAAAACCTATATTGTTGTTGTTTACACTTGTTAAAGTGTACCATAAAATCCCCAATTACTATATTTCCAAATTGAACTCAAAAGTTGGATCCTCACAATGAATAAAAGAAATATTTATCACAAGGAAATCTCGAAGAGTAGACGAAGTAGGATGAAAAATTCAAGCGATGTTAACGACCGAAGGGAAGTCAATTTCAGCAACGACTGAGCATCTGGCGTTTGCATCACGTTCTGACCGGTGTTGACTGTCTCCTATATGAAACAGTCTAAAAACAAAACAACCTTCTCCAGATCTGACGAATGAAATAATTTGCATTGTACCTACAGCAAACCGTTGAAACTGTCAGCAAGTGGAGATTGGCTGGTTTCCGATTCATAGCAGTAATTTTATTCAGCGAAAGGTTCAAAATTTCATTCAAACGTACTTAATTTCATCTGCATCGTTTGATAGTGTATTTCGGAAATCATCCGGAAAAAGGGGATATTTTACGGGAACGATTGAGCTTGCAGCTGTTGTTGTTGCGATGTATGCGAAATGTTGCAAAACAGTTCCGCACACTTCCTTAGTAACTGCTTCCAAATCAGCGGGAGAAAATCCCCTGGAAGAACGCTGAAGTAAAACCTCGTTGCAATGATCGAACGGGATAGGATCAAGCAAAATGGCTTTAGATAAATACAATTCAGTTAGAAAGTTTTCTTCATAAATGCTATTTTAAATCCTTATGAATTTGTTAGGGATTTCATTAAAGCAAAACAACTTTTTAACAAATGGCCCATGTGAACCAACTTTTAAGCGACCGCCATATTACAATTATTTAGTTTGATTTTTACAAACTTCATTTTCAATATGTATTTCCATGGATATAACTTTATTTTGGTCAATTTAGGAATGAGCAGATATTTGAAATACGATAATCATAAAACATACCTCGGCTGAGCTTAATGATCAATCTGAAGAATAATTAATTTTTCTTCTCGATTAAAAATAATAAGTGAGATCAACGTTTTCCGAGGGCGGACTTATTTTTTTCGATGTTTTCAAGTACATTTCACTTAAGATTTAATATGGCACCTTTAACTTGGCCACTTTATCAGAACAATTTTAATAATTTTGGAAATTGAATAGGTTGATCAGTTTATATTTAAATTATATTGGTAAGATCGGACGGTATTTTTGAATCCTTTTCTATCTTGATTGATGATTTTTCCAGTGGATTCAGCTAGCGGCTAGGGAAAATGGCTTTTATTGTAGCTTAAATACGGGTTACAAATGGTTCTCAATACGTTCGTCATACAACCTTTTTGCAGTAAATCAATCTTGAAGGGCTTCGAAAATATACCCTTCAGAACCTTTTCCAGGATGGGCCAACTAGGCAGATTCTAGTCTTAATGAGGTTTTGGTGGATGCATCAATGGCAAAGTAGCCTTGACCAGGGTTTTATGAATGTTGTTTTATAGTAGCTTTGTATTACTTCATAAAACTTAAAATGTTACTTGGGATATTACCGTCCCCTTGTCTGTTTTTCAAAGCATTCGCGATACTACTTTTAACTTTGTCATCGGTAGAATTCTCTTCGTCATGACTATTACTACTACTGTTACTATCGGAGATTTGACCCGATTCAGAAGTAACTGACCATTATTCATTGCAGCTAAATTCTTGTCTGCAATAATTCTGGAAAATGAACTATTAAATTTATCATTTAATAATTAGCTCGATTTCTTCTTTCTATATACAAAATTCACACTGCCGTACAATAACGGAACTATCAATTCTATACTTTCATCTCCTCATATATCGTATAAAATGTCCACTTTAAGTAAGATACTGGCATTAAGCATCTCAAACTATGGAGGTCTGATGTTTTTATCTTGTTCGAAAGGACATTAGTTCCCCTTTCTTATGGTTTGATTTTAAGTAAAATTTTTGGATTTTCAATTTTTGCCGAGTCGGTAGACAAGCTCTTTCAGCAACTGATTTCTCCTTGCATATTTTTCCGTGAAAGCTAAAAAAAAATATCCAGTAGAATTCTACATTGTCGATTTTTTAGTTTGGTAATTATTGCCTAGTTTGATGGAAGCGATACAAGCTCCGATGTTCAAGAACTATTCTGGCCACATCCTTGCAAACGGTGGAGATAAGAAGGATTGTTGGTTGAACACTTACTTAAATGCGCTGCAGAGACTTCTACGACTCCTCATAAGTGTCATGAAATGGTGGACAATATTTTTAGAAGAAAGGGTAAGCCGTAGTAAATGTTTGGTAAACGTTATTGACAGTTTATCAAAGCTAAACATATTTCAAGTGGACGGATCTACGCCTGGGTTCAATCCCAGTCGGCGCCGCCGGGATGTTTTGATGCACAACATCTCTGATCAAGCCTTCCTTTGCAAGGGAAGTAAAGCCGTTGGTCCCCGGTTCATGAGTTGATGGGTCGATAGGTAGGATCCAGGTGTGAAGGCTGCCTCCCTGACGTCGGTAGCATTGGTGCTCAGCACGGAAAACAAATCAAGGAAAAAAAAAAGTGGACGGATCTAGGATTGAATCTACGCCATTCTGTTCGCTGAGTGAACATTCGTTGCTGTTAACCACCGACTCCGATGAATGATCTCAATGATAGCTTTATTGTAATAAGAAATGTTATGCGCTACTAAGACACAATCTTAACGAGCAACCATCAATCCACCAGCAAGCGAATAGACTTGGATAATTTTATCACTGGAACATCTAGTAGAACCAGTAACTGGTAACGCCATCAAAAAGAACTTACTCAATTGAACATCTTTGACGAAGACACTGAGGATCATGGGATATGAGATATTTCTCCACACTAGTACCACATAATAATTGATTTTTGATCCAAACTATCCTCCAAATATGAAGTCTCACTTATCTGAATAGTTTTGCCGAAGACGAGAACTTTCCATATGGTCCGGATCATTAGATATGGACAAAAAAAATGTTGTTGCTCACTAGAGCCACCTAGCCTAGTGGCTCAATTTTGAACTATCTTTCAGGGATGCCATTCTCCCCAGTGTCAGCAGGGTGATGAGCTGAAAAGACACCTTGCACTACGACAAAAGCAAACTCAACCGAGAGATCTTTATTTTGTTTTCACTATATACTGCTTCTCCTACTTCGCAAACACACACAGTTTCTGACGTTCGCACCTCCACCAGTCTAACACACCGGAGAATATGAGTGATCACTAGGGAGCACCGTAGAGAGTTCGTTTGCTTCACCGGGGAGAATCACCCCGGTAAAGACTTTGGTTATTAGTTTGTTGCACACAAGATTTTTTGAAGGTTACTTTTTCTATTAACGTACAGTACGTAGCCATTTTTTTTTATGTTGTGTAAAATCATAATGTACACATTTTGGAAATGCGAATACGGGAAGTGCATCAGCGCAACATTATTGAAATTTGTTTCTGTTTAGTCGACAGACAGACATGAGACAGATATCGATTAGGATCACAGCGGGAGTTCCACAAGGCTCCATCATTGGTCCAACGCTCTGGAACGGGATGTACAATGGCGTGCTAACGCTGAAGCTGCCCATAGGAGTTGAGATCATTGGATTTGCGGACTACGTCGTCTTGACGGTAACAGGCGAGACGCTGGAAGAGGTGGAAGTGTTGGCGACCGAGGCGATCGGCATGATTGGTAACTGGATGCAAAGAGCGAAGCTGCAGATAGCCCACCAAAAAACGGAAGTGCTATTGGCCAGTAACTGTAAAACGGTACAGCGGGCAGATATCACCGTGGGGGGAACGCCATAACCTCAAAGCATGTGTTGAAATACCTGGGAGTGATGATCGATGACCGGCTAAACTTCAACAGCTACGTCGAATATGCCTGTAAGAAGGCTTCGAAGGCCATCAACGCGATATCTAGAATCATGCCGAACAACGCTGGTCCCAGCAGTAGCAAGAGGCGTTTTCTGGCCAGTATGTTGTCGTCGATACTGAGGTATGGAGGTCCAGTCTGGGTTCCAGCGCTGGAAACGAAGCAGAACCAAAGGAAACTGAGCAGTACGTTCCGGTTCATGGCCATGCGAGTCGGGAGTGCGTACAGAACCATTTCGTCGGAAGCAGTATGCGTTATCGCCGGAATGATCCCTGTCGGCATCGCCCTGGCGGAGGACAGCGAATGCTACACTACAGGCGGAGAGATGCCGGAAGAGTTAGAAAAGTTGTGAGAGCGGAATCGTTGGTTAAGTGGCAACAGGAGTGGAACACGGCGGAGAACGGTAGATGGACACGTAGACTAATACAGATTTTTTCGACCTGGGTGAATAGAAAACACG